TGGAGTGTGTGTGTGTGTGTGTGTGTGTGTGTGTGTGTGTGTGTGTGTGTGTGCAGGGGCGGGAATGGGGGCTCATCTAACCTCGAGGCAGCTGCCATGGCTCAGCTCGAGTATCAGCTAGAGCAGCTGCTAAGTTAATCCACCAAACAGGAAGCTATTTCTCTGGAAACCCCTGTTCCCTGAACAGCTTCCATGTAAATGGTTGGACAAAGTCTTCCACAAAAGGCCACGAAGCCTCACTGGGAAGCGAGGAAGGGAACAGAGAGGGGCTTTCATTGCTGCTCTCTCTTCTGCAAACATTTAAAAGCCACTCGCATTCCCAATAAAATACCCAATTACTTATGGGGGTGGGGGCGGGGAAGGAGGCAGTCCCTGTGTTGACACCTGTGAGTAACTTGCATGTAAGTCTGTAGGGAGAGGAAGGACAGGATGGAAGCAGATTGGACCAAGAAATGGCCACAAGGAGGCATCCCCCAGGAGATGAGGCTCACGGAGACGGCTATCTCACAGTCCTTCTCCCCGCCTTATTATTGCCCTGTCATCTGAGGTTGACTGGGTAGGGCCTGGTATAATTTTTTCCAAATAAATTTAAAAATTAACACATGACATAGGTCAATTGTCATTTCCAACAAACTCTCTTTGCATCATCTGAGCACACAGTAGGCAGGGCCTAGAAAGCTGGAAACTTACAGGGCGATTTTGTAGCTAACAATCAGCTCAGGTATCGAGGCTTTGCACAGCGTGACCTGTAACCCCTTTAATGAGGTTTTCTGGGAAGAATGAGTGTGGTCAGGTTCAAAGTGCATCCCGCAGAAGGACGAATGAGAAGCGGAGCCTCCTAGGAGATCCAGATTTGATATAGGGCTGAATTCAAACCTTGTTGAAAAGCTATTTTTTCTTCGAGAATGAGGATGGGAGGGCAACCATGCCTCTCTGAGTTCACCATTGGTGGAGAGAGTTGATGTCGGGTTTTTGCCACGACCAGCTTCTCACACATAATCTGCCTATGTGATTAGGCGAAGAGAGAAAGAATATGATACAGTAGAGATCGCATGGCATCAGATATTACAGGCAGCAAAAGCAAGGGTGGGTTTCACTATGCGAATGGCCACGAGGAAATCACCTGGAAACAGGGCATGGGCCTTCCTAAAAGGTTTGCAGTTCCACTGACGGGGGCTGGAGGGAGTTTACACCTGAGCAGGTGAGCCTGAGATGTCCCTAAGGCAGCCTCTTTCCCTGACATGGGACCGTACATTAAGAGGAACTACCAGTGAACCAAGGAGAACTTTTGTGTCACATCCTGAATGTTCAGGGAAGACTAATGATGAAGTGTGAAATTCCAACAAGCTCACCTTGCACTGGGTAAATGTTATGTAGTGAGTTGGGCTCTGAGGTGGTGAAGGTGAATCAGGCTTACAGAAAATCCACAGAGGCCAGGAACCTGATACTCTGGTGAGATCTCGATCGAGCTGTCCATATTCCCTTTCACGGATTAAAGAGTGGTACTCCATCATAAGCAGGCTCCCTGCTTTCACATAGAGATGTGAAAGGCCGTTTCTCAAACACCAAGAACTACACAAGTAAGGTTCTTTGCAATACTGACTGTCCATTCACCCAGCCCCACCCCGTCCCCACCTGCCTCACCCTCACCTCACCAGACAGGCATGGGAATGTCAGCGTACACGACATGGGCTCAGTGGACAGAAAAGAAGCATGACTCTCCCCCTGCAGCCTCAGAGAAGCATTACAAGGATGTATGGCAACAAAGCCCAAAACGTGAATTCTCAGAATGGAAGCTGAACTCTTCAGACAATTATTCAGATCCACAGGTAGGATATTCCAATAAAACATGGAGTTTTCTCTCTCCCCGTGTGCCCCACTGAGTCCATGGCCAATGCTTCCTCCCACTGCTCTTCACCACACATAATGTCAGGAGGAGGAGTTATGTACCTGAGCAGACTCTAAGGATCCTCAGAACATTCTAGGGGCATGGGTTTCTGGCTGACTATTAGACATTGGGGGCAGGCCCACTCTCACGCTGTTACAGATATGACAGGGACCCACTAAGATCCCACTGCCTTTGCTGTTCAGACAGCTAATGAGGCAGAAAGGAACTCTACGATGGGAGCTTCCAGAAGCGTGAATGTCAACGCAGGGAATAGTCAGTGAGCCAGAAATAGCTGAGGCCTTTCAGAGCCAGTCACCCTGAACTGCTTCCACGCTACAGGCACAGGGAGCTGGGTCTCAGGTCCAGCAAGGGTCATTTACTGCAAGTACATAGGGTTTGGATCTTTAAATATTATTAATTAAACTGATCACATTCAAAAGGGTATTAAAAGATGTCAGTCCCTAAGCAAACCTCATAACAGTAATTAAGAAAAGGTTTGACTCTGAGAAAGATCTCAAAAACAGCATGCTTTTTGTTGGTTTTGTGACTTTTCTTTGGTTCCAATTCTTTATGGCTGGTAAATGAACATTAATCTCTGGCTCTGTATTCATTCAGATCTCACCCGGCTGCAACCCCCCTGAAGTTTTTGTACCAGGGCACCTTTCTCCCAGGGCAGGAAAGCTACTGCAGAGTCTGACTGTTCAAAAGGAACTGACAAGTCACCCATCCACCTGTTCACCAGTACAAGAATTGCCCATATATCCCAGACAGGAGTCACCTGGCCACCTCCTGGGCCCCTTGGGTGTAAGCAGATGAAATGCTGCTACTTAATCTGCGGAAACCCTGCATATTCCTGAATGAGACCTTTGTTGCTCCTCTCTTGATTTTCACAGCATCATGAAACTGGCCTCCCCTCATGACCATTCCGGAGGGTCCCTTCTTACTGGATTACTGAATAATTGCCCACTGAGTCAGGGTTCCCCTCCATGCAGGATTAGAGAATGGAGCAATTCTCCCCAGGAAAGTGCCCGGAGGTGACTGCATTGTGGGAATTTGAAGCCACAGTGCTGTCTAAGAGCTTGGTTCATTTTAGGTGGCTGAGCCTCAAGGTTGGGGAGAAATTCATCTCTGGGACTACAGAAGAGGAACCTGATGAAAGAAACTACATGAGATGTTAGTCAAGGGAGAAGAAAATATTTCCTACCCAATAAAGTAAAAATCAAGCACTGAATCTGACTCCAGATGTAGTGAAGTATAAGAAAAGCCAAAAGTGCTAGGCAGATTGCTAACTCCTGTGAGAAAACAAGAAGAAAGCTTCACTGATATTATCACAAATCATTTTTCCAGTATCATTTAGACGGACTTTTCATCTTGCGTCAGAGCCCTATTTCATGCTCCTCACTGGATATTGTACTAGTCTCTTCAGAAAACATCTCCTCACTCCACTTCCACTAACAATGTAAGAATTCCCACAAACTGCTAGAAATAATCATAGCCTACTCCGTTTTCTTAAACCTAAAACCCACCTGAAAATGTTTCCTCAAACCAAACCTTTATGTTTGTCCTTTCACCTGTGAAAATAATGTATGTCACAAAAGCATGTTACTTTTAATTTTCCAAAAATCGTTTCCTTTTATTACCTCATGGAATTGAGGTTCACTTGAGCAGATACAGTCAAGGGAATAAGGAATTTTATGATTTTTGAAATAATGTTTGTTGTTCATCACCAACTGATGACCCAGGAACACGGAACTAGAGAGGATTCCTTTGACAGCCCCTTGTCTGGGCAGCACTCAGGCCCACACATCATTTAAGAATGCTCACAGGTATAGAGTAACCATGAACATTCTTCCTGGAGAAGAAATTACAGAAGATTTCTTCTATGGAATCTTTGAGCCATGCAAATATCTAACCCACTGTTAGAAAGAAGACGTGGACGTCAAACCTTCATTATGAAAAGGAAAAAAAAAAAAAAAAAGGAAATAAGTGCCCCTTTTTAAAAAAATCCAATGGAGGAAAACCTGTACTTTTCTGTTCCCAGGAGCACATGCTTAGGAAGCATTGGTTTAATGGAGCCAAGACTATCTTTGTCTAGCTGTAGCCAGCACACTCCCAGAATCCATGAATCACGGGTTATTTTCCAGAGCAGGCTTAAAATTCAATTCACACGTGCTCCTTGGGGGTTGCTGGGAATGACACAAAAGCAGGTGATTAGTCTTTGGAAGCCCAAGGAGGACACAGAGGAGGCTGAGCAAGGGCAAGTGGCCTTGCAAAGGGGAACAGGGACAGCAGCCAGTCACTGCAGACAAAGCAGCTTTCAACTACATGCCTAAGGGCCAGTCTCTCTAGAGCCCCATCCCCTGGGAAGCCAGATGTGAGGTCACCACTCCCATCAGAGTGAAGTCGAATTGTTTTTTTCTTTTTTTGTTTTATAAAAGGCCTAAAAAACCAAGTCAATACGAGGCTTAAACAACTAGCCAGCACGGGGCCGAGTTGTTCCTGGGTTTTCCCCAAGGCCACAGCCTCTCTCTGCCCCTTTGGAAGCCCTTCTCTTTTGCTGCGATTCTCGCGGGACCCTGGTCAGCACAGGGAAGCATTCAGACACGAGAGCGTTATCACTAACCTGAGAAGTAGCTGCAGGTGAACTAGTTTCCTTACCACTCACTGCTGCCCTCTCACTGGCTGCAGCTTCTGCCACTTCTGCCTTCTGCACATTCGATTCCTCAGACCCTGGAGGCCCTATGTGCCCCAGACCTTCGCTCCCTGGGGTGGAAGGTGGGTTGGTGGTAGCTTTCCGGGTTTGGCCTTTATACCAACTAGGGTAAAACAAGGGATCCGCAGTGTCCGTGGCTGCCGGGACTGGCGTTTCAGACTCTGTGGTCTGCTGAGAGCCAGTGGGCACAACCTCCCCCTTGATCAGGACAGAAAAATTCAAAAGTAAAAAAAGAAAAAAAGAAGAAGAAGAAAAACAAAAAGCAGTAGATTTTAGTTCCCTTCGGGTTTGACAACTGTGAGCTCTGTGTGTCGTGCGTGATTTAATGCACGTTTTAGGTCATTCTACCTTCTGTAGCACTAAGGGAAGGAATGCTAACAGCACCCCTCATCAGAGCACTTGCACGTGCCCTCTCGAACTTGTCTTTCACTAGATGGCAGCCTGGCCAGGCAGACAGCAGAATCCTAAAATGAAAGTCGCTCATAAAATATCAAATAGGAGAGAAAGGTCAAACTGTTGACCCAAATCAATTTTTTACATTATAGGTGGGCCCCCAAAGCCTCTTTTCTAAAACCCAATATTGATTTCACTGTCATTGAGTTACCAAATCTCTTTCAACTTCAGTACGATTGGTATACCCAAATTTTCAAGATTCTATGAACTATAAAGAGTATTTTAGCTTGGTTTCCTGTGGAGACAGAACACAGAATATACGTCCATCTCTGAGTTCTTCTGAGGTTCAGTTGCGATAGGTAATTTCAATGCACTTGGGAAGCAGGTGCAAAATCAGGGCTCCTTTGTGGTGAGACAGCACTGCCCACAAACTCAACAGGTTGGGACCTGTCTGCCGAAGGTATCATGCAGTCAGCACAAAGGCTTGAAAACTGGACAGTAACATCTTAGAAACATAATGTCAGCCAATCAGGTATAGATCTGGAATGAGCTAATTTCTGTAGGAATTTTAAAAATAATGCTGTCAACCCATAATCTCATCAAATGACAGATGCATAGAAAGTTAAGCTTCGTTTGTTTGCCAACTGAACAAGTTCAGTTGTATTTGAGGGTAAGCAAGCGGTACATAAGCTAGCCTGGCTTCTCTATTTACTTACTTTATTATCTACAGAAAATGCAAAGTTCTAAAAGTATAGTATCATTTTTATTTCTCAATCTGTATTCTATGTCTGTATTCAGAGCGGACCCAATCTTCATGATCATCAGCTCTCCATGAATATATTACACACACAATCCAGACAAAGATTGCCTCAATTTTGAGGCTGTTATTGGTGGAAAAATTGTGTTAAACTAAGTCTTGCCAATGAGTTATAACAACAATGAACCTGCTGAATCACCTAGAAGACTTTTCTCCCTGACACTGTGACTGCCCTGAAATCTTTTGTCTTCCACATACAAATATCTGGCATATACTTATCTTTTCCTTAAAGTATAATACATTGTTTAGGCTATTCAGCAAGAAGGCACATCTGCGTGCCCTGTAGGAAAGAACCCATGAACAGTTTACCTGTGTCACTAGGGCATCCACAACAGGCGGCAGGGCTGGAGGTGGCTCTGGAGAGGAAACCGAAGGTGTGGGAAGTGTCGCTGGGGCAGCCTGGAGTTCCGGGGCCAGCTGAGCAGGCTCTAGAGCTGTCTGCAGACTTTCATCTTCTCCTGGTGACTCTGTTCGAACATTTTCCACCTCTTCCACTTTTACTGCTTCTTCTTCTTCTTCTTCTCCTCCTCCTCCTCCTCCTCCTCCGCCTCCTTCCCCTTCTCCCTCTCCTTCTCCTTCTTCTTCATCTTCTGGTAAGGTAATATATTTTTAAAATCATGACAATGACCACCACAGCCATGAAAACAATAGTCAGTACTTACAGCCCAGGTTAAGGTCAGGGTTAGGGAAATCCTCTCCAAGACGTTTGACAGTGGCCCAAGTACATCAGGCTGGGCCTTTTTGCTTCTAGTTAAATGCGGACAGACAAATGCAAAGACAGGCCAAATCATCACCATCCTCCTTGCTCCCTGTAGCACTGATGTACAGTCCTCGCCACCACGGTGCACCATTCGCCTGACCCCCGTGAGCCTGTTACATCTGCAGGCTCCTGGAGGGCTAGGATTGCCACTTATTTATCTCTATCAAATTAAATGCAACTCTCTTCCTATCTCAGAAAACATTCAAAACTCTTGTCTTGTTTTAATTTCTTGCCTCCTTTGTTGTGTGAATGCTGACTTTTGCCACAATTAATGCCATGACTGTTTCCCTAATCCATTGATATTCCCTCAGGCAATATTAGGGAGAAACGATATTAAATAATTTCTTAAAAAAGAATCCTTCCTGAAGACATGCTTCTAAAGTTATATCTGTGGACATTGATTCACCTTCATGGCATTATTAGTGGTCTAGCTGAAAAGTCTTACCACCTAGATGGGCTAGGATGGATCAAGTCCATCTGAGTTTTGGCCAGCTTCAAGGTTATTTTCTACTCTTTTCAATTATTTCATCAAAATACATTTCCAGGAGTGGAATTTATGGACCAAATGGTAGGGATGCATTTATATCTCATGGAGTAAATCCGGTCACACAGACCCAGTTTGATTTCCAGGTTGTGACTTATTCTGTGACTTGTTACTATTCTTGCCCTCTAAAGTTTAACTGGATGTGCCACAATGTCCATCTAAATGTCTTCTATGGGTTATTTTTATCTCATCCTTAACCTTGTACCTGATGATATTTTACGTCATTGAAATTGAGACAGGGTTGAAATTGTGATATCATCATCATCATCATCAATTATGATTTGACTACACAGAGTCAAATGCCCAATAATGTCATTATAACAGGCACCATAAAATGGAAAGCTAAATAAACACTGTCAACAAACCATATGACTTGGTCATGAAATAGAGTTTCAAGAAATTATCCTTGTAAAATTGTCACCATCCATTGTGGCAGTGATTCTGAATCTCCTTTTCCTTCCACTGAAGTCATCTGCAGCTTTCACACACCTGCAGTTTGGGCCAAACGGTCACAAGAATAACAAACCTCTGTAAAAATCAATTTCACGTATTATTTTTTCTTCTCTATTGAGGTTGACTGTGAAGTGGTTCATGTTCTCATAGCCATGTTCTATTTTCTCCATCTGAAATGCCTTCGATGCTTCAGAAATTCTGCAACAAAGATAAGTTGCCACTTTCTGTCACTGTTTACAGTTTGATAGCCTTGGGTAAACATGAAAAGCATGCATTTTCCATAAAATGAAAATTACTTACTTTTGCAACAGGGTTTTGGCGTTCTGTGAAAGCAAACAAAAGACAGGCCTACTTAAATTCTTTTCATCAAAAACAGTGTTGAGACTTAAGTCTTTCCTTTGCTAACTATGAAAATCTCAGCTTAGTTTCTAAAAGCCATACATAACTGCTCCTTTATACCAGGACCCTCTTCTTTTTAAACATTGTTATGGTCCCTTAAATATATGCTCATGAAATTGTTTAAACAGATGGAGATATAAGCACATAATTGACTTATATTTTTGTTGATAAAATACAACAGAATGAGATGTACGTAAAACAACGAAAAGGCGATGACAACTTCTTCTTGGTTAGTTTCATCTGGTGCCAAAAGGAACTTACCTGCAGAAACACTGCCATTTCTGGCTCATCCATGAACTGAATTCCTGACTCAACCAACTTCGATACGTTCTCCAAATGATCAGAATACTTTTTGATCAGGGCACGGACACGTTCCAGTTTCTCCCCTTGGGTTCGGGTAATGACTTGGGTCATCTCATTCTTCCTCTCCTCCAGGATGCCATACAGGTAATCAAACTTCTCACAAAGTTCCTGTTTCTGTTTTTTGCAGCATTCCTGTTAGTTGGGTTAGCTAATGTTAAAAAGTGTTTCAAAGGATGTCTATTTGGAGAAATCACCTGGACATTTTGGGAGACAAGAAAATCTACTTATGTAGGATTCCCCCCCCCCCCTTAGACTGACCCTTAGGTAACCTATGCTTTGGAAATCCCACTTTCATCAAGTTTGATACTTAGACAATCCCAAATCAATCAAATTGGCTAAATAGCACACTGTTTTTTCAGTCTTCTGTTCTTTATAAATGAAGAATTTCATATAAATTAGGACAGGTTTTGTTTTAAATTTATGTTGGTTATATAGCATATAGGTTTATATTTTGCTTTGGAATGAGTGTGTGTGTCTCTAAGGAAAAAACTATGGTACTTCCTGGTTTGTACCCTTCAGTTTCTGTCCCCGCTACACTGCTGCTGTTTTAGTTTCAGTCCTCCCATGGGGATTCTAAAGTGTCCAGTGGCCTCTGCATCCAGGATACTCCCCTTCAAGCCAACTAACACGCTGCTGCCAAATTCATTTTCCTGGAGTAGATTTTCCTGGGGTGCAGTGCTTTTTCTCTCTTATAACTCCCCACTGCTCAAAGAATAACATTTATTTATTTTACTTTTACTTTTTTAAAGATTTTATTGGGAAATTGGGGGTGGGGAACAGCATTGGGGAATCGGGGAAGAGGAACAGGCAAATTGCTGTCCTTTTGTTCTTTAGTTTAGTTGTGGAGGACGTTGCTTCACTGGCCCATGTTGGTATTATCATTGCGCTCTTCCTGGGTGAGGCAGTCACTTGCCGGCCATTGGATGGCCACACACGGCCGGTCACACCCGCTGCCGGCCAGCCCCACTGCAGCCTACATGGTAGCTGCCAACTCACGGCAGCCCAACTCCAAGTCAAGCTATTATTCACCATCTTAGCTGTAGAGGGCGCAGCGTCACTGGCCCTCATGTGGGATCCGAACCGGGGCCCTGCTGCTCAGAGCTGGCATCCCAAGCCAACTCCTAACCAACACGCCACTCTGCCAACCCCCAAAGAATAACATTTAAACTTTGTAACTGGCTTTCAAACCCCTTTATGACCTGGTTCCTGTGCTTCCTTCATAATAGTCTATGCTTCTCCATCACATACCCTGTGTTCCAGCAAAAATGAACCAACCACTCACTTTCTTTGCTCATGTCCTCCCTCTGTTTAGAATGTTCTTCCCCAATTCACAGTTGAAAACTCTAAGCAATCTGAAGGACATGTTGAAATACCACTTCTTCCATTAGGCTTTCCTTGATCTCTGTGGCTGAATGTCATCTTCTAATCTCCTAAAATTCCATAATAGTTACCATTTATGGCATTTACCTATATCCACCAGGTGTTCTATTTATCCAATACAGTCTAAGAGAAGGAAATACTGAATCTGGTCTTTGATTCCTGGAGAGAAAGGCTGTATGGAAAGTCAGCCTTATCCATTTGCATTGTGTGACTAAAACATCTCTAGTACCACCCAGATCCCTTTAATCTGAGTCCATGTTCAAGTCATAATTACCTTTCTGGTTGGCCTGGTCATTGGCATTTTTGTTATTCAAGCTCCAGTAAGCTTGGTGTGTGTGTATGCCTGTCTCCTTAGACCTGACCATCTCTGGGTCCAGGACCTTTACAGCTGAGAGCAGGTTTTGAGCCACAATGATCCCACCTCACCCTCCTGCCTAGCGGGCATCCCGTGAATCCAGCCAATCTACCTCTGACATCTCTGACCTTTGTATGACCCTTATTGCCTGTTCTTTCATTTTAATAAAATTGGTCCTTTTGATATCATGTATTACTTTATATCTCCCTTTACATGAGTTTCTTAAATATCTAAACTATAGCTTAGAATCTGGTTAGAATCTGGGTCTGCCGAGGACACATACCACCTTGGACAGCAGCTGTTCAATAAACACCTGTTGAACAGATTTTTTCAAATTATGTTTCATTTTTCTCCCAATTCCTCTACTATTCTCAGACGAAGGGGGAGAGGGAGAAGGCTGACCTAAAGTAAATAGTTAATTATGAAGATAATACCATAAATGTGCCAGAAATACATTCCTGACTCCGCTGCCTCCCTCGGAACATAGTCAGTTCTCATCACGTTTCTAACATGAAGGAGATCCAATGGTGCAAACCATTTTAATAATAAGTGCCACTATTGCTGTCATGCACCCATCCACCCATTCATTTAACAAACAGTTCTTTAGCATGACATTAGTGTCATGCATTGTGTGAGGCTCTGGGACCCTAACAATGACCTAAGCATAGTTCCTGTTCTCAAGGAGCTCACAGTTTACTGAATGAGAAGGATTATGAGCCAATAATGTCATACAACCAAGGAGGCTGAAAAATTGAAATATTTTGGAGATTTATACCAGGTTTTATAGAGACATCGAGGTGGGGCCCTAATCCAACCCTTTGTGTGAGCGAGGGACATTTGAGAGGAACGGCTGGGAGTGGTTCAGAAAAAGCGTCTTAGAGGAAGTGTTGCCCACATTTGGTCATAAAGGATGGGCGGGAACCGATCTAGTGTGTGGAGGGGATGAACTGTATTGAGTCTTGGCAGTTATCACAGTAGTAAGACAAAGGCCCACACAGCATGTCCAGACATGGAAATTTCTGGGCTTGCCGAAGTTCCACCCATTTCCAGCCCTTTAGCCTAAGATTTAGACTATTATTAAACCTATGAACTGAAGCCTGTGAGTAGCTCCCCAAACTTTCTTTCACTGTATTACTTTCTTACTAAGCTTACAGGCAACCATGTGCCCACTGCATTTTTGAAATACGCCTTTGATGTTCAGACGCGCTACTGTTTATCGTGAACATATGAAGATTCCTAGCTTCTTTTTCTAAAATGAATTGTGTACACGAAATATTGATAATAATGGATATTGTAGTAAGATGTGATACTGGCAGCATGTCTTTGTTTCATAAAAGCTTTCTCCTATATGATTTAGTATGTGTGAGAACATTCAAGTTTATGAAAGCCAAATTCTTTTCAGTGAGACTAATGTAAAGTCATGTGTCATGGCTAGTATATTTGCTCAAGTCAGATAAAGATTAGATCACTTATTTTGGCCATATACATTTTATTTAGTGGTTTAAATCAAATAACTACTTTGTTATATTATTTTCAGTTCCAAGTATTATTTTATTTCTATTCTGTTTTTTTAGTGACTTATACTATATTGAATTTTAATAAAATCCCAATAATTTTAATAGCAACTATCATTTGTTTACACTTTACAGTTTAGGAAATGCTGCCCCATGCATAGTATATGCTTAATTATTATTATTATATGACTGCATACTGTGTAAAGCCCTTAGTATATTACTTGGCACATAGCAGTCACAATATGAGTGTTTATTAAGTTTAGATAGAATTTTCCTTAATTTGAATTATTCAGTTGTGGAATATTAAAGCTCCAGGGAATATCACAAGTAACCTGCACCAACCAATCATTTGACTCATGTAGATACTAAACTTCAGCAGAGTTAAGTCACTTTCTCAAGCCATTCTGCCATTCACTTCCCTGTTGGTGCCTGGCCTTCTAACTCCTGGGTCATTGCTACTCCTATCATACCCAGCTGAAATATACTTTAAAGTAACTTGAAAAACAATTTATGTAAGCTGCTCATCAACTGAATACATGCCTTTTAACAAATCTATGTTGCAAGTAAGCCCTTAAAGATAAGAAACTTCAAATTGCTTCAGAATTATATGCATTAATTCTTTCCTTCAACAAAATTCACTAAATGCTTACTATGTGCCAGGCATTATAAGA